GCGCCATGTTTTGGCTCTCAGGGAGCTGCTCACATCCTTGTAAACAAGCCTAACCCATGCTGCAGGCATCTCCAGTCCCACCACCAGTCCTGCAGCAGAGCAACCCAAGGCAGCCATATCACTGTGCCCATCCTTGGATCTCTGTCCCACCCCTGCCTCCACCAGGCAAACACCAAACCATGCAGGGACACAGCTCTGGGTCACGCTCTGAGGCTGGAGGTACCACAGACCCAGCTGGAGGCCAGAGATGGAGCCAGGCTCAGATGTGTCTCCTGCACAGGATCATCCCTTGTCTGGATCAGGGATGCTGCTCCACTTGGTTCACCTGTACTTGGCCACAGCCTCACAAGCAGGACCAGGGCAGTTTGCCTGCTTGATGACAGCCGATGGCACTGCATAGATGTGCAACGGAGGGGAAACGGCATAATTCCCCCCAGGCTAGGGCTCTGGATAAAGCCATCATGTATTGGAGTGCTCCCACCCGCACCTCCAGCCACCCAAGACCTTTGGCAAGGGGGACCAGGGAGTGTGCCAAGCACACCCCACATGGCAATTTAGCTGTCACTTTTCCTGAGTGACATGATATGGCCCCTGTGGCACATGGTTGCCTAGGGGAGAGGGCACGATGCAGCCCCAGCCATGTGCGGTACTCACAAGGCCGAGGTCTTGACGTAGCTGGTGTTGTGGCGCGGTGGGGGGCACTTGGGGCGCACGCAGCGGTGGCCCCCAAAGGTGTTGATGCAGAGGTTGCCCTGGGTGCAGTTGTGCTGCTTCCCGGCGCACTCATTCACGTCTGCAGCGTGGACACGGTGTGAGTGAGGCTGTCCCCCGCTGCTTCCCACTGCACCCCTGATCCTGCAAGATGCTCCCCACCCTGCACACATTGCTCTTACCCTCACAGATGTTGTCGTCAGCCTGGAGCTGGTAGCCAGGGGGGCAGAGGCAGCGGTAGGAGCCGGGGAGGTTGAGGCATTCATGGAGGCAAAGCCGGGTCTGGGGGTTGGACTGGAAGAGCTGGCACTCGTCCACATCTGGGAGATCAGAGCGGGGCATGGCCAGGGGTGCCATCACTGCCAAGCCTCAGTTTCCCCTCCTCCCTGCCATCTTCACCCCCCTTTTACCTTGGCAAATGCCGCTGGCTCGCATCTGGAAGCCGGCGTCGCAGCTGCAGCGCCGGGGGCCAGCGGGTCTAGCGGCTGAGGGAGGCGTTGCCCAGTTTCACCCAGTCTGCGAGGAGGAGCAAGTGTGGGCTGGCGTGTGGGGCACAGGGAGATGGTGGGGGCTGAGGTTCTGGGGGAGCACGGGGACATGGGTGCAGCATGGCCAGGTGCTGTCCCTGTCAGCAACCCTGTCCTCTGGAGCCCAAACCTGGGCACGTACAGGCATAGACGGGGCTGTGGCAACTGGGGCCAGACCAGCCCCGGGGGCAGAGGCATGTGTAGCTCTGGTTGCCATCCACGCAGGTCCCACCATTGGCACAGGGATTGTTGGAGCAGTCGTCGATACCTGGGGAGAAGGAACTCGTGAGCACCAGTTGGAGACACCCATCCTTGCCCGGACCTAGCCTCGGTGCCCATCACTACAGCCTCTGGGCTGCTCTCCCTGCATCCGGGAGAACAGAGCGATGGGACCCCATGGCTTGGGGTGACAGAGGAGCACCCAGCACCCAGACCCTGCTCCACTTCACTTCTGCAGAAGGGCTGGGTGCCGCTCCACGTGCGGTTGTGCCGGCAGGAGCGTGTCTCCGAGCCCACCAGCTGGAAGCTTACGTCGCAGACAAAGTGGACATCATGGCCCACCCGCATGTTGCGGCCCAGCATCCGCCCATTCAGGGGCACTGCTGGCTGCGGACACGTCTCTGTGGACAGACAGACATGGGTAAGGATGGACATTGCCAGGCTGGAGCTGATCCCAGGCCCCTCACTGGGGGTCTGGGGATCAGAGCCAGCTCCGTAGGGATGTCACCCCCGCGGCAGTGACCCAGGGTACCGTTGTTGCGTTTGGTGGCCTGTCTCTGGAGGCGGCTCTGAAGGATGGAGAGCTGCTGCTGGAGACCACGCGTGCCCCGCAGCTGGGCAGCCTCCTGCACGGCCAGCAGCTTCTGCATCTGCCGCACTGCCCCCAGCGCCTGCTCCTGGCTCAGGCACTCCTAGGGGACACAAGGGGACATCTCAGTCACCCACTGGGCTCCCCCAGCACCCTGCCACAGCCCAGAGTGGCCCTCCCAAGCAGGCACTGTATATGGGACTGGTTTGGATGCCCTGTCCTGTGCAGAGACCCTTCCTCCCCATCCCAGTGCAAGGTCTGTCCCTGCCTCTGTATGTGCTCCAGCCTCAGCCCCTCCACCTGATCCTGTCCTGTCATTTGGGTGCTGAGGAGCAGCTTGGTTGCCCTGGGTCCATTTAGCATCACCTCCCCACTGCAGAAGAAGAGCCCCATGACCATCGCCCCGGCCCTGGGCAGCACCATAGACACCATGTCCCTGTCCATGCCATAACCCTACCCTGGGTTGGTGACGGGGTGCTGAGGTGTGCGAGGTGGGTGCTGAGGGGTCTGCAAGGGGGTGGGGTGTGAGGGTCCTTACCTGGACACTGCTGAGGGGTAGCTGCAGGATGCCCAGGGCCAGCCAGGCTGGCAGCAGGATGAAGAGCATCGCGCCGGGGCTGGCTCTGGACACGCAGGCTGCAGGGACGAGACACCAGTGCTCCGGTTCTGCCTTGCTCGCTTGCAGCCGTGGTCCTGTGCTCACTGGGATTTATCCACGGTGCGTGCCCATGTGTTTGTTGGCTTTTCCCCTGGCTGAGGCCAAGCCGTAGGAAAGTTTCCCCTTGGCACTGGCTCCAGCCTCTCCCTTCCCTTCCCGCTCTGCACATCAGAGGTTTTGAGGCCTTTCATGTCCCAGGGCCAGCAGATGCCGGGGCCAGGCGGTGGCTGTCACGGTGCTTGCTGCGGTACCGGCAGTGCCGGGCTCCCCTCAGGGCCAGTCACGGCTCTGGGGCTCCCCAGCACGCAGGGGTGCAGGATGAGGCTAATCCCACCTATTGCTAAGCGTGGGAAAGTCTAGCAGGATTTGGGGTCAGCTCTGGGATCCAGCTCTCTGCTGGGGCTGGGGCTGGGTTTAGTGTTAGGGTTAGGGTTGAGATGCTCCTGGTCCCTTCTGTCTGTGACAGCCCTTAGGAATGGGGATGGCAGTGCGTGCCTGTCCCCCAGACCCCCCTGAACAGGGGGATCTGGAGCCCAGACATCTGCCCTGTGCCGGGGAGCACCCCCACACCCCCAGCACGGGCACTGGGAGCCCTGGGCCAAGGCAGAGCCATCAGGGACTACTGAGTCCCCCGAGCTGTGTGGGCTCCGGGACCCTCTCACGACCCCAAGTGCCTGCTGATATGTGGACCCCCCCGAGCCAGGCATCTCTCCCGCTGCTGGCCCCCAGCCCTCACATCCTCCCACCCCGTAACCACACTGCCCAGCTCACCAGAGTGGGTACTTGGCTTCGTGCCCATGGCGGTGTGTGTTACCTCCCCAGCATGTTTAATTCATGGGGCAGGAGGAAGGCTGGCAGTCGGGGGCCCCTTAGCTGCCCCCCTCCTCAGCCCC